GGTCCTCACAGCCAATTGGCCTGGAGGTCAATTCCTCCCAGTGACACTAACAGCAATCAAGTCTCAACTACACCAAGACTGGGCTCACAGCCCACAAAGGGGTGCACCTAGAGTGCCTAGCTCAAGTGACTGGGGAAGCTGAGCCACTGGGCCCTATAGAACACCTACTACACAAGGCCACTCTACCAACTCAAGGAGACATAGCAGCTCTACCCAATACAAAGAAACAAACACAGGGAAGCAGCCAAAATGCAGAGACAAAGAAACATGTCACAAATGAAAGAACTGGAAGAAAGCAAACTACTGGATATAGAGTTCAAAACCACGGTTATAAGGTTACTCAAGAATCTTCTATAAACCTCCAAAAAAATGGAAAAGGACCAGTCAGAAATTAAATATACACTGACTGAAATAAAGAATAATATATAGGGATTCAACAATAGAGGAGATGATTCTGAGAATCAAATCAACTATTTGAAATATGAGGAAGCAAAAAATACCCAATCAGAAGAGTAAAAAGAAAAAAGAATCCAAAAATATGAAGATAGTGTAAGGAGCCTCTGGGACAACTTCAAGTGTACCAACATTCTCTTTCCTCTAACAGATGAAATCATTTGCATGTTATTTCCCTTACCCCACCTCCTGATTTTTGTTAGTTGTGTTTTTATATTGTCAAAATATAACAATTTACATTTTTTTACATTAGCCTAGTTTTCACACTTATGTAATATTCACTTTATATTTAAGTGAAGGCAGTGCTCCTCGCCAGTCATTTTATTGGAGCTCCCACATTCATACGTTCTTTATTTATGTTTAAGTGGTCAAGCAGTTTTTTCAAGAAAGTCTGTTAAGTACTGCTAACCCTTAAGAAATTTTTTTTAATGCTTGCCTTTATTCTTGAGTGACAACTTGGCTGGAAATAATACACTTACTTCACACTTTCCTTCCTTCAGAGCTACTTTGCAGCCTTTTCTTTCCTATGTTAGTGTTGAATGTTGCCATGAAGTAGTCTGATGTCAGCCTGAAGTTTCACCTTTGTAAATGACTCACTCTCAGCCTAGAAGTTTCAAAATTTTTTATTTTATTCTGGAAATATTGCTGTTGAACATTTTGTGTCCAATTTCCTAGAATACAACGAGGGGATTTTTTTTTTAAGATGTACTTTCTTTCCTTTCACTCTCTTGGTTTTCTTTTCTTATTTCTGTAAGATGAGCCTATTACTTCTGAGAGAAATTTCTTTCCTATTTCACTTATTTCTTCCCAAAAGCCATTTCCATTACACTGTAGCCAGAAGACAAATGATAAAGTCACCCCCTCATTCGTCTCTCTTGATACCTTTGTCAGGATTCGGTGGACTTACCTCCATGGCTTCTGAGGAGAAGAAAGAGAAGTGGCTACCTGCTCTGTGGTCTTCCATTTCATTCCCTTTGGAGTTTCCTGTTTTTCCTTTGCACTCACTTTTTTCAGGTAATGGATTAAGCCTTTTCTATTGATAATTATTTTTGAGGGGGCTCTTTAATGCTTTTGTTGCCTCTCTTATACACAAAGATATTCTGTAAGTCAGTTTTATTCTTCCATCTAAATATAGATATTCCTATAACTTATCATCTCAAGCTCCCCTGATAATTCATATACTCACAAAGTTCAAGATCAGTGATTCATGGCTTCTTGTGCCCAACAGTACTCACTTCTCACTACCTAGGATCTACAGAGTGGGACAACAGTTGGTTTACAGTTGTGAGTATATGAAACAGTTTATTCTTGTATTATTATTCATTATATTATTTTTCATACGAACAACTGTAAACCTCCTTTTGTCACGCCCTATACTTATTCTCTCTCTGACTCAATACTTCATCTGCTGCAACAAGAGAATAAGATCTTCCTGGCTGCACTATTGTTAGGTGGTAGCCATGAGACAAATGAGGTAAGGTATCTATAATAATAAACGTGTAATATGCTAATTAGACCGGACAGCCGAATGACCTTCCAGATGTCCTTCTGGACAACCTTCCAGATGAAGCCCGGGCTGCGAGGGCCAAGGCAAGCCGCCATAGCTGCAAGGGCTAAGCCCCTTGCATGAATTTCATGCATCGGACCTCTAGTAGTAATATATTTCAGAAAACATTTTCACCCTTGAGAGAGAGGTTATCGTAGCTCCCACTTTCTCCTTACATGAACTGAGTCATGTACTCAAGTATTTATTCTTTACTGTTTGGGTAACATAATGGCAAAACTAGTTACCAGATTTTTCAGATTTCATTTTCTAGGATTGTATATTACTAGAATACCTATTACAGTGGATAAATTAAAAATTCCTTCTTTTTTTTGGTGTTGTTTCTGCATAGAGACCTAAACTGTTCAAAATACCCTGAATGACATATATTCAATGCTTTTTTTTAAATGGTTGATTGATTCACTTGTAACCTGAAATCCCACCATAAGGGAAGACTAAGTAGCTTAAAAATAAACAAACAAACAAACAAAACCACTGAAGCCCAGAAAGCAATAAGTTCCTTTGTATATATTTATAATACTGTTCACACGATTACAGAAAAGCAAAGTAACAGAAAAGATTTCTTTCTTCCGTTCTACCCCAGCTGCGTGGAAAGTGAAAAGTGAACAGCAACACACAGCAGCGGCCATGTGTGCTCTACCATGTGATCAGGAAGATAAAGGACATGAATAAGTGTTACCTCTAATTCTTAAAACCAAAGGCTCTATGCTGGTTTATGATAATAATCAGGGGAAGCCCACCTTAATCCTATGTCCAGTGACATTCTGCCAGCTCCTTCAGAGTCCAATAACTTTATACTGATATACAAGTAAACCTTTAACATATGTATTGATTTTTATGACTGAGCTCCTTAAGATTCTGCCAATATGGCACCTTCCTCTGGAGTCCAGGGGTTGCTTAACTTTCTTCTTCCAAGAAGTTGCCCACATCTCTGTTTCTTGCTGTAGACTTTCCATCTCAGAAAGACCATGAAAGACACGCAACTTTGCAGATACACTTACCTTCACTTTCTGAGATCAAAGGCCACTTCTTAGCAAATGTCCTTTTTCTGTTCACACCCCAGGAAGCATAGTCGCCCCACTCTCCTCAGACAGTCACAGTGAAGGCCCATTGAAGAAGCACTTTTCCAGGTCATGATATTTAGGAACTTGGAAACAGTGTTGGGACACCTCGTGGTGCCATATGAACGTAAGATCCATGTGCAGAATGAACCATAACAGTAGGACATAGGAAACTTTTGTTTAAAATGACAACATATTTGAAAGTTGGGTGTATTTTATTTACAAGTAACATTTAGATACAGAAGTTAATCAGATGTTTCCAAAGATCCCCACTATATTAGCAAAGACACACCAGAGAGGGAATATAGCGAGTTCATGTGTTTCCGCCATGTGACAGCAAGATCCAAGGCTGGTTATATCCAGAAGGCTTAGTAGACATAGTGCCAGATTACTTGCAAACTACAAGCATTGGGGTTTATACTTTATTTATGAATACTCCTAAATAATGTTCCTTAGTACCTTCATTCCTACCATCTACACTGTAGTGCTATCACATCAATGATATGCCTTCAGCTCAACTTAAACTCATTATTTGATTGTCATGAGTTCTGCTGAAAAAAGTTTATGAATAAACCTTATTTAAATTGTAACCCCTCTGCTTTCTCCCACAGCCATTCTCCTGTGAATTTATTCCAGGTGTGCATTGTGTGAGACAGTCTCGCAGAGCTTCTAAGAGATTGCTGTCATTCATGTACACTATCAATAGTACCTATTATGGAAAATGTTACATTGGAATTTTATAAATATATCTTAATATCAGTCATACTTTATATGTAAATACTTGGCTTTTTTAAAAAACCACTACCAAATATAGTCATTGATACTCTGAAACCAAAAGGTTTTTTACACAGGTAAAATTCTTCCTCTTTTCCCAGGAAATCGGATTCTGAAACTCCAAGAAGATCTGAATTATCCACTTGGGGATGAAGCAGCAGTCATACTGTTGCAATAGAGAGCTTTATTCATATACACACGTGTTATTCATTCCTGATGTGCATGATTTTCATTATCTCAAGAAAATGATTCTAATTTATGGATGGGAAAAGGGAAGTTCTTATTAGTAAGGAACTAGTGCAAATGCATAGCCTAATGGCAATGCCGCATTTATAGGCCCCAGAGATCCTTTCAAGAGCACTGCACCCAGAGTCAGACCCTAGTGTATGTCCAGGATGAAATCTACAATTCTAGTTGCTATTCATGGGGCTACTAAAGAACTGAGTCAATGACAACTTATGCATATAGATGTAATTGTCTTAATTTTGAAATGAAAAGAAGAGAAATCCATATTTCCAAAGGATTTCTGCACAGAGAGTAAACACCAACTATCAAACAACTGAAACCAAAAGACTGAGATCTTAAAAAGTTTACCTGCTCCTTTTATTATATATATATATCTTCATAAGATCCTGAGGGACTCAGTCTTAGAATTTGCCTTTGCTCAATTTGACCTTCAGTTCCACATTGAAGATTGAAACTCCAATCTTTCCCCTTTCCAGCAAGTCTTTTTAAATTATAATGAACACAGAAATTACTCAATATTACAGCAAAAAGGACTATTGGTTAAATTCACAGAAAGAATGCATAAAAGGCAGAAATCAATAGGCAAAATTATGTCTTTAAAAATAAACTGTGCTGCAAAACTACTTTTGCAATTACAATATCGGGTTTGGCCCCACAATGTTTAAGAGGCACTGCATTAATATAAACAGAATCATCTAACGCACTTTTTCAAAACAGTGCTTCTCAGCCAGGGCTCGTATGAATTCATTCTGCCGCTAGGTGCCAATGGCACTTTTGGTTTGCTTTACTGGCAACATGTTGGCGACGCATCCTATACTAAGAGAAAGGCTGAAAGACGAGCATATGACAAGAGCCAAATCCACCGTGTTACTTCTTTTCATGCTTCTTGGTTAACTGCCCCACGCCCAGCTGGAAGCTGCCCCGGTTGTCACCGTCTCTCTCTTCCCTCTGCCGACTCTCCTGGGAGACTTGTCGCACAGCCTGCAGGATGGCATTCTGCACAATCTGTTTGCTGGCATTCTGCAGCCTCACCTCTTCAGGCTCGTTTCCAGTTTTCTCGCCTAGACAAAGATACGAAAGGGAGGTGAAAACAACAAAATCAGTTTCAGGAACTGTGACAGGAAGGAGCAGGTAGAAAAGGTGAAAGCGGAGGGGAGACTATAAGAACATACTAGGGTGGCCCAGCTAAGTGTGAGGAGCTCTCTGTAGCACATACCACTCTTGCCTCCCTTTCTCCCTTTCCAATAGAATCTGCATTTGTTTGCCCCAGCAATGCGCCCAATTTATATTCTCACCATCCCAGAATCCTCTGCTGCTAGCAGGGTAATGAGTCATAGTCTTGGCCAAGGAAACCCCTGGGAAAGCTTTTGGAAAGCGAGAGGCTCATAGCCCCTTTGGCCTTTGGCACCTCCCCTGGATGCAGACATAATGCTTGTAGGTGCTGCAACCATCTAACAATAAGCATGGAGAGGAAAGCCAACATTCTGGGCATTGTTGGGAGACAAAAGGAGCCAGTTCTGAAGACATCATTGAGCATCTGCACCAGCCCTGGACCATGTACTTTTGGATGTGTTTACGTGTGAGATAAATAAACCCCTTTTTGTTAAGTCCGCCACTAGTCAGGTTTTATGTTGCTAGCACCCAAAAATATGCCTAATAGATGTGAGCTCACTGGGGCTGAAAAATAGCTTGTGACTGAATTCATATTAAACGCAACCCTGCTCCTGTAATAGCATCCCAAAGAATGAAGCTATTCATTCATCAGAATCTGTTCTCCATGATCTAGAACAGGAGTGGGCAAACTTTTTCTATAGAGGACCAGATAGGGAATATTTGGGGCTGCTGGCCATACCACCTCTCTAAAAACCATTCAACTCTACTACTGTATCATGAGATCGGCTATAGACAATACATCAGTGAATGCATATGGCTTTGTTCCAGTAACTCTTTATTTACAAGAAAAGTAAAAAACTACGTTGCAGATTTGGCCCATGGGGCAGGTTGCCAACCCCTGACTTAGAATGGTGGGAATTTTCTAATTAGAAAGGCAAGGCAATATACCCAACATTGACTCTTCCTCTTCTTCCTTAGTTAAAAACAAGTCAAAACCTTAATTTTATTTGACCAGCTATATAACTAGGTACAGGTAAGTTCTAACCAATGGGTGGGAGTTTGTTTAGTGAAAATTCTGTAAAAGGTCTTTAAAAGGGAAGAGGCAGATAAAGGCCCTTTACCCTCTCCCTTCCTGCTGCCTGCAGCTCAGACACATGGTTGTCTTTCCAGGGGCTCTGGCTGACCATGAGGGAACCTTTAGAATGGAAGCCATTTTCATGGATTTGGAAGGAAAAAGTTAGAAAGGGCCTAAGATTCTAATGACCATATTAGACTATATTAGTCCTTAACTGCTCACCTCTAGGCCTCTTTTATATTAGAATCTACACTAATAAAAGAGAAACATGGTAATTGGTGTACGACCGCTACCCTTCCCATTGGCTAATCAGGGAGATATGTAAATTAACTGACAGCCAAGATGGCGGCTGGCAGCCAGGCAGCTTAAAGCGAACATGAGGCTTGCTTCCTTCATTGAAGGAGGAAGCCAACGTTCCCTGCCTGCGCCTGCGCTGCCGGCCTCTGAGCTGGCAGTTTGAAACTTTGTAACACTTTCAGCCGGCCGGGATCTCAGAGCT